AAAAGAGGCGCCAGTCCAAGGTACCGCTCCCAATGCACCTGCACCTGATACGGAACCCAAACGGTCGCGAGAAGAAGAGCGAGAGACATCCTTGCAGTAGCTGCCAAGAACCAGCCCGAAGATGGGCCAAACACAAGAAAAGCAGCTGCCCGCGCATGCAGGTACTTAAAAGCCATGGTCAGCCAATACGAAAACACCATATAAGCCGTGTACAGTGCCGCCCGCACCGAAACGCAAAAAAGCAAAGGAACTGGCAAAGGGACATACAAGGTGGTGCCCCAGTTGGTGAACATGAGTTGAGTTTCTGACGTAGTGGTGCTTAAAATATCACGGTTAAATGTGAAAACATATGGGACTTTCATGTGTCTAATAAACATGTGGGAATTCCCCCGAGGCATGGGGGCGAAGTCGTCACACCCTTGTGAAGGGTTGTTGTACTAACTACTGAATTATGTCCGTTCATGTCTTGGATGATGTGGGGGGGGTGCCCCCATGTTTGGAGAATGTGGGTGCGTTCCATTCCCTGCTGCTGTCCGCGATCGGGTGCATGCCCGCAAGTGTTTTGTGAAATTTTAATTTTGAAAAAAAAATCAAGATTTAACCCACAAAAGCGTATTGTCACACGTACGTGAATGGTAAGGATAGCAACAATATCTTTTTTTAACAGTCCCCCACCTTTCTCGTTTTTCCAGTCTGGAGTGTGGAGTGGAAAGGGGAGTGGAAAGTTTACAGTGTAGGGTGTGGGGTGTAAAGCCTCGAGGGTGAATTGTGAAGTGGGGAGGGGAGCGTGAAGTGTGGAGTGTAAAGTTTGGAGGGTGGATTGTAGAGATTCATAAAGTGTGGAATCTCCTACGAGTGAAATTTTGTGAACATCATCAAACAGGTTGGAATGTCAGAAAGTGCCACGTCTGCCTCGCAAAACAACACGACAAAATATTTGGAAAAATATGGAAAACATACACATCATCAAAGATGTTGGAATGTCATAAAGTGCCATACCTGCCGCACACAACAGGATGACAACTTCCTTGAAACCTTCGGAATAAAGAAGTTTTGGGTTTCCACCATAGACACGGCGAACCCACAGAAACACCAGGGACACGAGACGGGATATATTGGAGCAAAAAGGATCATTTTGTGCGAGACTTCCGGCAATTTTCACAATTAGCAACATGACAAAAGGACAATTTTTGCAGCACCGCCCATAGACACAGGCAGGCAACCGGAAAATCAGACAAGAGAGACGAGACAAGTGGGAGCATTGAATCAAGTGGGAGCACGCGTCGTGTCAGGCTTCGGTCAATTTCACGCAAATGCCACGCCTGCCACACAATTTGCAATTTGTCACCACTTGACGCAGCCCTTCCAAAGTGTTTTTTTGCGCCTGCCAAGAAAAATGCAAAAAATGTTCTGGCAACGTCACAAAAGAATTGCGCCTGCCAGGTGAAACGATTTTCGACAATTTCCAGAATACGTCTGAATGTCTTCCCAGAGGCACGGCCGTGCGGGCATCGCGTGGACGGTTGCGGGCGGTTGCCACTGTGAACGCAACGTCACCCCCAGAGAATTGTCTCAAGCTCATGCACTTTATGGAAGCATTTCTGTGTTTCAGTTCAACAGTCCACAAAGAAATGTGAATCTTTGAAATGTTTGTTTTGTGCTTTTGCGGCAGTTGCTTGAATGTTCATCGCAGGATGTTTGTCTTGTTAAAGCTGGAAGCATTTGACGAATGTCGCATCGAAGGTGTCTGCGGGCTCTTGAGATGCAAAGCACATCCGGATCCTACAGCTTCAGATGAAGAAGCTGTGACTCCAATGCACCTTGCAGCTGAAAGCTCCTTGCTAGAAATATGACATAAGTTTTGGAGTGTAAAACACCTAGCCATCTTGACATTAATTTTTTCCATGGGAATTGGTGCCTAAGATTCCGGGGTCGACGTCGTGCTGCATCTCGTGGAAGCTTCTGCAGACATCAACAGAAAATGTGGCATGAACCAACAAAGTGCATTACATGCGGCGTCTTTGCTGGGCGACGTGGACATGGTTCGGGGTCTGATTCTCAGCAGTGCTGCCTTGGATGAATGCGATGCAGATGGAGAGACCCCATTGCACTTGGCTGCGTTTGCGGGTCAGAGTAAAACAGCGCAACTTTTGCTCGTTGCCAATGCTTCAGTTGGGCAGCATGATGGAAGTGGTAACACACCATTTCATTTGGCTGCTTCGAATGGACACATGGGCATCTTACTTATTTTCATCCAGACTTTAGTTTCGCTTGCTCACTTGATGGAAGGATGCATTGACTGAGCATGTCTGGTTGACATTTCAGGATACCCAAATATACCACTTCGTTTTTGACCAGTTTGTTCCATCAACATGATTTTCCCGAAATTTAGCCACAAAATCTACTTCTGAATCTCGTCATCAGCAAGGTGTGGTGAAATCTTTCCTGATGGCTTTTGCTCCTTTGGATCAGCAAGATCATTCGGATGGGAACCTGACCTTGCATTTAGCTGCCCGAGCAGGGCACCTCGAAGTGGTGAGGAGTTTAGTTGAAGCGATGGCCTCTGTCCATGCCCAGAACAAGTCTGGAAACTCTCCGCTCCACTTGGCATCCGCTTATGCTCGCGTTGAAGTTATGCATTTTTTGCTTCAAGCACGTGCGCACGTGAACTGTCCGAATTTCCGTGGTGAAACGCCTTTCAACTTGGCGCTGCAGGATGGTTTGAATGAGGTTGCTCAAATATTACGTTGCTTGGTCACAGTTTTTGTTTTTAGCCTAGCGTTTGACAACTGCTTGGTCTCCCCCCGGCCCTTTGTGCTGGCAGTTACTCGACAAAATTCTAAGGTGAAGCAGGCGACACCTGTGCAGAGTACGCGTACGGTGATCCTTCGTATATGTGGCCAAAGAACTTCCAAGTTTTCGCTTGGCCAACAATGCCGATGCCAATTTCCATGCCAGCCATGCCCATGCCAATGATGCCAATGCCTGAATGAAGCCATACCATCATGGTTCGTTTTAAAAACGTTGCCAATTGTACTTCTGTTCTCTCCACATTCAACATTGAAGGCGGTGAAACTAGTGCAGTGAATTATTTGGTTGTGTTGGCTTCTTTGCGTTTTTGTTAGTATTGAGGAACGATCCATGCTAAACTTTCAGCGAACTTGAGGAGGCCTCGTGGCCGGAACTTTGCGTTACATGCAGCAAAAGAAGGCCTTTGCAAAAGGAATGCAATTTGGTGCATTTTGGGTTGGGCCAAAAGAAATTACCTCCAACAAAACCACATGTAGTTACATTGCGGAAAAAAACGATGTTTTTCGAGATGTTTCTTGTTCGAAAAACCAGGCAACTGAACAGATGCAAGCCTTGATTGACCAGTTTCGGCAGCATGAAGGCCAATGCTGAATTGGCCAAAATAATGGAATCAGAGCAGCCAGCTTCTGGATCAGGATTATGGCTTGAAAAAATGTGTCAATGGGCGTCAATGAGAATTATGTGTCATATCACATATCACGACTTGGGATGAGGTTGGAATATGACAATTAATTGTTGGTGATTTCTTGTTGTTTCCGTTTATACTTTATGCTTCTTATTTTTTTTTCATCTGCTAGGCAAGGGTCTCTAGATTTTAGACAAAACTGCAACTCACTCCTTCCCTCCTTCCTCATCGCCAATTCGATCCTGTGGACTGCGCATGGACCAGAACGCCAAATCGCGGGCCCGACATGCTGTGGAGTGTGCTTCAACTCGAACTCAT